AGCGAAGATGACGAATGACCAGCATGCACAACAACAACAGCAACAATTTGCACTTTTATAGCGCCCTCCATTGCAGGGTAGTGTCTCAGAGCGTGTAAACATACAGTGTCTGGAGTGTTTTTAAAACAAAAACCGTGTGGTGTGTACTTTAATCACAACGGTACGAAAAAAAACTGAGCTGATCTTCCCTATCTCATACGATTCATCTTACCCACTGGACTGTGATTTTCAGCCAGTGCCATTGGATAACATCATGTTTGATGGGCTTGTCACTACAATAATTCCTTTGACATTTAAAGTACCCTTTCAGCACACACGGCACTAGGGTGTGTATGTAATAATTACACACATGACTTCTCAATGTGTTTTAAGCCTTATAGCAGGCTGATGCCAGGTCTTTCACTGCTCTTGGCTTACTGCTGATACAGTGCAGTATTCACCATTTCAAGTCAAATGAAGTTAAACCAGGACCAATTATGGTCTGACAACCCACTGAAGTTACCATGTTTGGGTGGGTTCGAGGTTTGTGTTTCATACTCACTCACCCCTGCTTAAAATGTTAACACTCTCATAAACAAATCAGGTTGAAATAGATAGATCTTCACCTTCATTTGACAGGTTCGAATACATTTTTTTTCTGCCCTTGCCCTAACGCTGGAGCTGCTTGTCAGAGGAGGCCAAAATCCACCTTTGTTCCCGAATGCACACACTCTGCTATTGCATGAGGACTGACATGTGGGACTGTGTGTTGAATACTTTTGCCTGTCCAGGTAAACATGTTAGCTCGCTCTAATGGGTGTTGTGAACGGATAGACAGGTAGTCAAATGCGCACAGCAGTGTCCCACAAACATTAAAAAAAAGAGATAGATGGACAGATATCTATCTATCTATCTATCTATCTATCTATCTATCTATCTATCTATCTATCTATCTATCTATCTATCTATCTATCTATCTATCTATCTATCTATCTATCTATCTAATAGATAGTCAGATAGATGGTCAGACAGACAGACAGACAGACAGACAGACAGACAGACAGACAGACAGACAGATAGATAGATAGATAGATAGATAGATAGATAGATTAGAAGTGGGAGCAGGTTGGAGAGGAATCAGCTGCAGTACAAAAGGGACCAGCTGGGGCCGCCATTCCCCCTCTCAGTGTTTGCTGGATTACGAGCTGCTCTGGAGCTGGGGAGGGCTGGCAGGATGGGAGGCAAACCTTTCCCAGAGCTGGACTAGACTGGACTTGTTGATCTCCATTAACGGGCAGCGGAAATAAATCAGGAAAGCCTTTATTTTTTCCCTTCCCTCCCTCCCTCCCTCTCTCTCTCTCTCACTCACTCTATACCGTGGAGGATTACTGGTGAAGATTGCAGAAGGATACCAACTGGGCTGGACAGTGGAGAGAGAGAGAGAGAGAGAGAGAGAGCCTGGAGCTTTGCAGGAGGAACGCCTGGCTCCCGGTATGATGGTTATTTAACGTTGCTGCTGTGGAGAAGGCGTCCACATCTTCACTCCGGAAGGTCCAGACTGATCCAAGAGGATTTTATTCCTCACTACAGAAGGAGACCCCAAGGTTCTCGCACAAGGTTCGTGAAACCCATCATTAACCCGGGCAGCTGCAGCTGGTCATTTCTGGCAAGGATGCCATCTACGTTTGCCTGGTCTGCATATGTGTAACATATAATATATATTAGGATTTCCTTGGGTAAGTGTGTGTGTGTGTGTCAGAGAGAGAGAGAGAGAGAGAGAGTGTGTGTGTGTGAGATAGAGATGGAGTGTGTGTGAGAGATAGAGAGAGAGTGTGTGTGAAAGAGATGGAGAGATAGAGAGTGTGTGCGAAAGAGAAAGGGATAAGTGTGTGTGTGTGTGTTGAAGATGTGAAATTCTTTTATTCTCTGTAAGATTAAAACGTTGGTAGAATTGTTCCAACGCTGTGTATTTTTTTCCCCCCTTTACTGTTAATGAAAAAGAAGATAGACATATGTTTCGGTGAAGGAACACACACACATTATATATATATATATATATAATATGTGTGTGTACTTAGTGTGTCTGCCTGGATGTGACCCAATTGTAATGAGACAAGACCTTCCCGAATGGCTTGGTATTAGTTGTGTAGAGACTAAAGCAGGTATTGGAACAGAATTGTCACTTTCATCTCAATTTTAAGAGGGGTTGAGGGCTTAACACTTCTTTTTTTAAAAAAAACACACACAAGAGTAGGGATTTTTTTTTATTATCGCCCCCCCAAAAAAAAACCCAAAGAAAATCTTTTTTTTTTTAAACATAAATTGCACAATTATATTTCTGGGTACTGAGTCCTGTCCTGTCAGCCCTGTGATTACCTGATCAGTAAGGATGGCGGAGGATTCCTGTTACATGGGGGAATATTAGCACTCAGCAGAGATTTCAACACACAGCGCAGGTTTGCATTGATGAAGCCAGGGAAGCAATTACATCTAAATACAAGGATATATCCATCACTCATCCTTAAATGACCTCTGTCAAACTTTTGTCGCGGTTTTCAGCTTTAAACACCGCGGTGAGTCACATTTAAGAGGATAGAGAATGGATGGGGAGACTGAGATACCATAGTCACAGTTTGAAGGGCGATGAGGGGAAGGTTTTTGTGAACTGCTTCTCTCCAAATGAGCAGCTCCCAGGCTAAGGTTTGCTTGCAATGCTGAGCATCAATGTTGTGAGTGCTACTTGCAATGCTGTGAGTTTCTAACATTATATAATACACACACACATATATATATATATATGCTTTCTATCACCACTCACCAAGTCTTTACACACACACACATATATATATATATATATATATTCCTTAACAGTCTGTTCCTCATTTGCACATTGTTTCAAACCCAAACATTTGACCGTTGAGTTGACAAGGTCAGGGTTGTGTACCTAATGTTGATGATGAAAAACCTAAATCCCTTCTGACAGAAGCTGTTTTTTGTCGCCACTCAACAAAAAAAAAAGGTCTTTTTTTTTTCTCTGGAGGGGGTTTTGCATATAAGAGCACTGAACCGTATTTGCCTTGAACGCGGTAGTTCCAAAAACCCTGGGCTGTGTTTTGCATTTTATTTTTGCAAGTCAAATAAATAGCTTTCCATATATATATAATATATATAGACAGGGTTCGATGGAGCCACTGTCAGTTGTGCAGAAATGTGACTTTCTCACTTGTGGTTTATATTCGGGGGGGAAACAGATCGCAAATACCGAATGTAAAGGGAGATTCACATTAATTTATCATTTATTGTTGTCATTACTATTGTGCAGTGAGAGTCTTGTCTCTTTGAAGGCAACTTCAGTACACGTTAAGTACGAGGGAGGGCAATGGAATGGATGATTGACAAATAATTGTGGGGGGGGGAGGGGAGGGGGGAGAGAGAGAGCAGTAAATAGCACCAGTGACTTTGAATAGGGAATTTGTTTTAGAAATGTCTGGTATTTTCCTGTGCAATCCTAACAGTGGGAACTTTACCTGCACGTTTATTGCATTGCTCGTTTTACATGTGACAGCTATGCACCAAAGTGCTTTCAATTCCTAGAGGTAAAAATGCGACGAAGTTAGGTGGGTTTTTTTTCAAAGAATGTTAATCCCTTTCTCGACATGTTGGGAGCATTCTATTGCTTAAATTCTAATTAAATATCATACAGACGATATTGACTTCGTGATGCAGACTGAACCCCTGAACAGCATAATTTGGTCACTTGAAAATAAAATGATTCAAAATGATGTGGTTGTCTTGTGGGAAGGGGGGGGGGGGGGTGGGGGTATGAATGCAGAAGCTTGAGTATGTCAGACACGTTTAGTTTTCAGCATATGTATAGATTTTTTTTTTGACAGGGCGCTATATCAAATGCAAGGATCATTATTATGTTTTTTTTTTAAAAAATCATTATTGCAGTCTATGTGCAGTGCAACAGCTTGTAAGATGCAATGAGATGAAAGTAACTGAACTAGTTTAGGAATGGAAATCGATTGTTTGCAAATGGTCCTGGATTTTTGCCTTCAGGACGTCAGGCTCTCTGAATCAACCTGTGTGTGTGTGTGTGTGTGTTTGTGTGTGTGGACTCGATTCTAAATCTATTGCCAGTTTAAAACAAAAAAAAAACCCACTAGCAATTGACACTGTCCAAGATGGTTTGCAATGTAAGCAAAGCTCAGATGATTCAAGCTACTGATGATGGTCTATAGATTTTATAAACATGTTAACTTGAAGTTTGTGAAGATGGGCAAAGAGAAAGAGGTGGGTGAGATGAGCAGACTGCAGTGTTCACCTGTTCCTGCACAAACATTGAAAACGAAGGTGTTGACCATCAGATCAGAATGCTGCTATGTATTGATTGGAATAATAACTTTGGAGAACACAATTACAGTCCATTCTTTTGGCTTGCAATTCAACACAAGGTGGGGGGGGGGGGGCTGGCCGTGTGGTTATTTGTTCCTGGTTGGATTTTATTTATATATATATATATATTAAAATAAATCAGACATTTCTATGTAGCTCGTGGTGGTGGAGTCGCTGCAGTTCAGGAGCCAAGCAGCTGGACAGCGCTCAGAATCCCTCCTGCACTAAACAACACACACACAGCTCTGTCCATTGAGAGATAAGGCAACTCAGACACACACACACACACAGATCTGCTTCTTGAGCAGCTTAAACGAGCTATTTGTTCCTCTGATTAATGGATAAACCTTCTCCCACCGGTAGTACTGTATTGTACTTTACCTGGCGTTGTGCTTAGATGCTTTTTGGGGTGTTTTTTTTTTTTTTCGAGGTCATTTGGGGGCGTAAGAAAGAAACATTTCCCATCTTATTTTTTTGCAGCCTCGAGAGAATGGATGTAAAGTGAAGGAGCCCAGATGAAGATTGCATACTGACTTCTGATTATTCCGGGGGAGTGGGGGAGCCAGTAAAGTGTAAGCATTTGAGATTACAGCGGTTTTGCTGGTTAGAAACTGCGGACAGACATGCCTGTGGGTATCAATAAAGAAGGATCTAGGTCCACCAACTCCCTACCCCCAGATCCCATGGAGATCATTAGGAGCAAGGCCTGTTCCAGAAGGGTAAAACTCAATGTTGGAGGCCTGGCACATGAAGTACTCTGGAGAACCCTGGATAGGTTACCCCGAACACGACTGGGCAAGCTCCGGGATTGCAATACCCACGAGTCCCTGATGGAGATTTGTGATGATTACAACTTGGAGGAAAACGAATATTTTTTCGACCGTCACCCGGGGGCTTTCACATCAATCTTGAATTTCTATCGCACGGGCAAGCTGCACATGATGGAAGAGATGTGCGCCCTGTCCTTCAGTCAGGAGCTTGACTACTGGGGAATAGATGAGATCTACCTGGAGTCCTGTTGCCAGGCCAGGTATCATCAGAAAAAGGAACAGATGAACGAGGAACTGAAACGAGAGGCTGAGACGTTGAGGGAGAGAGAGGGGGAAGAATTCGATGACACGTGCTGTCCAGAGAAAAGGAAGAAACTATGGGACCTCTTAGAGAAACCCAGCTCCTCAGTGGCTGCCAAGGTAATCATTTGGTCAATTGAGTGCACACATTGTATTCTAACATAAATTACATTCATATATCGATATAATTTGACGAACTCTGTTCTGAAAGCATGTAATACATTATAGAGAATCAATTTTAACCAACTTAAAATTAGTTTTGCATACATTTGTATATTTGAGGCTTGTGTTATGATTCATAATGCTGTTGGAGGAAACAAATTCATATCAAATGTTTCATAAAGATGGTCATTTTGGGTTAAATGCATTGTCCTTTTAAAGCCACTTGTTTACCTGTAGATTCATTATTCAGACTTAAATTGTGTTTGTGTTCAGTTATGTAAATTTGTCCTAACTGCTTTTCCTCCCCCTTCCATCCCTCATTCCACTGAAATACAGCTATTTGAAGAAGCTTATGTGGTGGGAAAAAGTAACTTACAATAACGTTTTATAGCCATATGACCCTGCGCACAATATACTTTGAAATGTTATTGAAATTATTTTTCAGCAAAGAACGGGATCATGCATCAAGTATATTGTATAGTAAGACATATCTTAGTATAGTATCTTAGCACTCAGTAGAAATGTTCAGCCACTTAATGAAGAGACAGAACTCAGGCTAGTTTATCTTACACTGAGGAATGTCTCTTGGCACTCATGTTTGGAAGATTTTCTGTTATTACTACACGTAATAATATTTAGACATGAGCCTCCTCATTGATTGGGAGTAAAGATCTTCAGTGCCATAACTCCAGTCGTTGTGTTTAAGTAAGGTTGGTAGCGGTTTTAGAATGGTTTGCGAACGGGAACTTACCTTTCCACATGAAACTGACCAAGCGAAAGAGGTTTAAAAACACCACAAACTGGATAGAATAAAGACTGATGATGGCAAAACCTAACGTATGTTTTGTCATTATCTGGTGTGTCAGCCATATTAGATTAGTCGTGTGAATGTTTGCTTAATGCTTCACGTGCACTTGCTAATTCAATGGAAGGGACGACCAAAGGCCAGAAGGTGATCAAAATAGAAGTTGCATTGAATTACTGTAGAATTGTTCAATTGAATAACTCCACTTTTTACACATATGCATAGCACATATAACGTGAACATGTCTTACAGTGGAGCTAAAAACATGTATTGAATGATTTTTTTAAAAAATCAGTGACTAATTATCAATTGAAACAGTTTTCATACATTAGTGTCAACCTGGTGGGAAATGTCATTTATATGCTATCTATTCTCATATTAATGGAGATCAAGGGTCAGTGCACAGTGAATGGCGGTAAAGTCATTCAGTGCATCAAACATATTTCAGCCATTGATCATGAACAAAAATTGCTCTATTTACTCTACCTTTTCTACTCAATTTATTAATTCTCCAGAGCGAAGCATCTGCAAGGTTTCTCTCTGCCCCATAAAGGTAATTGAGAAAAACTCCAGAATATCTAGCAAATCTTATAACCTATATTAGTCATTCCTGACAGGTTGCCTCCTCTGGTATAACAATGTGTCAGGTTTAGTTGGAAACCAAGTTAAAGGTGGAAGAATAGAGTGAACTAATTTGGATAGAGACCACACAAAGGTTCACCTTGGAGTTTCACTTGATTTCGTTCCAAATTATATATTTCTGAGCAGCCAACCAAGTAGAAAGCCATTTCTATTTGCCAGAATGAAAATGATTCATTGCTGTATTATCCAATTGTTACTTCCCAACTCTGAGTCAAACTATTTCATGTTAACCTTATATAACCTATCCTACTATATTTAATTTCTTAATATCGCTACATCAGTCAACTGCGACAATTTACTAGAAATGCACAGAAACTTTCATACTTAACCTGGTCACGTGATTTACATTGCCCTCATGCCCTGCGTTTCACCATTAGTGGCTGTACTTCAAGTATCTCCCCTGAAACTCTGGAATACTCTTCCTCTATCCCTCCACCTTGCCTCTCAGCTCAGCGTTGTGCTCTGTCACTGTCAAGTGCTCTGCATGATGGGCAATATATAAATGCAAGTTGTTGTTGTTACCATATGACCAGTACCATGAATAAACTAACATGTGAATAGTTGTGACCATTTATTTAAGCCTTATTTCATCCCTTCTCACCTATTTTGCAAGATTGTGGTTGCTCTTGGTCTCTCCCCTGCACCCCCCCCCTCCCCTTTTGATTCATCCCCTTTATTTGCAAAGTTTCCTTAAACGATGTCTAACTGTCTTATTTGGTGTTGTATGATTATCTATCAGCTTACATGAGATTTAGAGCAGTGGCACTGAATTGTGTGGGAGAAGGACAATGTGACCTGGAGCTGCTAAACCTGGGGAAGTTCAGTTACAAGGAGTCGGGTATTACTGGTTTGGTAGCTCAGGGGCTGTTCCAATAGAGCCTTCCTTCCATCTGTTGTTTCCTCATCCCTTTAACATACATTATGGGAATGGTCTAGTTTTGGAGAAGACAATCTAAGTTAGAATCTATTCAGGTTTATTGGTTGATATGCTTATTACGTTCTTCTATTTCTATTTAGAGAGAGGAGACTAAAAGTGCATTCAGAGTTCATTTCAGCTTTAGTAGAAATTCGGCTGACAATAAAGCTATTCTTTGTAAATCCAGTGAAAAGACAGTGAAGACAGTGGAATATCCAAGGAGAACAGATTTCTGTAGTTTATTGCAGAACATCTAGAGAATGTGGTCATGAGGTGAGGTTCTTACAGGCATCAATATTCAAGACTAAGAAAAATGCACAACTCAGTTGTAACAGCATTGGCCTTGGGCTTTGGTTGTCTTATCATGAATTATGAGAAACCAGCAACAATGTAGATTGTTTGTCATTATTCCATGCATATTGAAGGATGTTTTCAGCAAATGTCTAGCTATATAGTTCATGTTTGAAACGGCTTGATACACACTTTCTGTAACTTCATTTTTAAGATTTATGCCTGGAGTATATTCTGTGCAAAAGTGCAACTGGTTTCACAGCGTTGCTTATGATGATCATTGTGCTATTGAAAGGTGAGAAGTTTAAAAGAAATGACTGCAGTGGATGAACTTAGGTTTAATATCACTCTACGTCATATCCAATGTGAGCCAGGCTTGGGAGGCACCAAGTGTAGCGATGACATTTTACTGCAGGAAGGCAAAAGGTACTTTGTGAGTCAATTGGAGTGAGAGCAAACTGCCACATTGGCCACTTCCAGGACGTGTTCTGAGAATTAACGGAGCAGAAAATGAAGGTCAAGTAGATTTGAATATAGGGAATAAGGAAAAAGCAGCATACGAGGAGTGGTATTAAACATCCTGTTTTATTTTGTGTTGTGGGATTTGTGTGTATAATTTGGATTTTAACAGAGTGCAATGGTATCGTATCCCACACTTCAGCTGAAGTCTTGAGTAGACAGTATTCCAGTCCGATTATTGTTTTGGTTAATGTATTGTCCCCAGAAAAATCAAATCAATAAAAATACATCTCAAGTTTATACATTATTGAATGCTTCAGTCACATTACAGTATATAAAAAAAAATCCTAAAGTTCAATAGTCCTACCATTTTACACATTTATTCTTGATAAACGGTATGTAGAGCAACTGAAGATTTAATACTGCCTGTTATTTGAAATGCTGGGAAAAATGCATCAGAAATATTGTTGCTGACTATCAACATGGTAAGGTACTAGTAGCTACATATCTTGATTTTGAGGCAGTGATATCTGTTGGTTAGGCCTTAAGATTCTTTTACATGATTATCAGAAGTGGCTAACTGTCAGAAATAGATATTTCTAGTTTCAGAATTTAATGAATTGTTTCCCTATCATGTTGATAACAGTGACAAATGTATATATTTAAATAAAAAAACATAGCTTTTTAGTATATTCAAACTCCTAGACGTTTTATGCGGCTAAGTAGATAAGATAAACTTCTATTAAAATCATTTAATCTGTTAAACCATTTAATCTGTTATATAACGAACACAAATTTGTATTGGCAATGTCTTTTAATGTTAAAACACATTGCCAATACAATCTTTTAACAAAATGTTTTTTGGGGGAGGAAAATACATTATTCCATTTGTTCACAAAACTTGTTCCTGTACACAACTTCATACAGGGATTTCTTGAATTGTTGATCATTTCTCACAAAGTGAGCTTATTAATCATCCTTGCATTTGATATAGTGCTTTATCAAGTTGTTGAGACATCTCAAAAAGTTTCACAGGATATATTGTGAAGTGGATTGACTGTGTATTTTACGGGCAAAACGTGGCAACTAATTGCGCACTGCAATGTCCCATAAATAAGCAATGAATTTTATTTGGGGGATTGTTGGCCAGAACACCAGGAGAAACTCCCTTCTCATTTCAAATAGTGCCATGAGATTGTTAACATCCACCTGATGATGATTATTATTATTAGGTAGCGGTAACAGTTTTTATTGTGATTTTGTTTCACAAGTTCAAATCCAGTGTGATTAGAATCTATTATGTATTGCATTTATGTATCCTGCAGAACATTTGTAATTCCTATGATTAATCAGAAATGCTCCCTGAAGTGTCTGTCTTTCACCTACATTCTAGACCTTATTTGGAGCTCTAGTATTTTTCCAAAGTCAGTATTGATATACCTTGTGCAATATTTGTATTGCAAACTTCCTTGTAAGTTCAGTTCAAATTAGCACAAGAATACAAAGAAACATTGTTTTTTTTTAAAAAAATGCAGGAAAAATATGTTTAATTTGCTGTGCAATACAGCATTATGAACTATTTTAATAGCTTTAGTACACAACTTGTAGTAAGATATTTCCTGTTCTATAGGATTCCACTTGTACTAAAGTACATGAAACAGCAAGGCAAGAGGATGCTCAGTATTCACTGGGCTGTAACATGCAAGCTAAAAAGGCACCAGAACAAAACTGCTTTCGGAATCCTGATTTCTTTCCCCCACCCACCCAGTAAATTGTGCAATCAGTTGCAAACTGGTAATCACGATTAGCACATCAGCTTGTGTGTCGTTTAGCAAATGCTGCATT